GGTGGTTCAAGCTCACCAACTGCTCCTTGATAACTCTATACAGGGTCGCTATGGGTCAGAATCGACTTGACGGCACTTAGCAACAACAACAACAGACACTATACTAAGTGCTCTACAAGCATCTCCTTTTATCTTCACAAAGATTGTTGTTGTTAATGCCATGGAGTCGGTTCTTACTCATAGCAACCTGTATAGGGTTTTCATGAAGCAGCTGGTATAAGTTTAAAATGCCAACCTTGCTGTAAGTAGTCCAGTGCTTATCCTACAGCACCACACAGGACCCCACAAAGATCGTTGTTGTTGTCAAATGCTTTCAAGTCAGTTCCAACTCATAGCTACCTGCATAGGGTTTCCAGGGAGCTTCTGGTGGATTTGAATCAGTGACCTTGTTGTTAGTAGTCCAGTGCTTATTCTATAGCACCATTCTAGGACCCCACAAAGATTAGCAGTAGTAATAATTATCCATAGTTTATATATCAGACAATTAAGCCTGAGAGATATCGACAACTAGCCAAACATCACATAACTTGTTAGTGACAAACCTAGATTTTCAGAGTGGTGTTTTTCTAACACCAAAGACCATGGTCTTAAATGCTCCATCATAGTGCTTCTTTGCAAGAGGTCAGATTGTATTTGATTGCTAATAGCAATTTATCTTTGATATTTCTATGCAAACACTATCCTCATAGTTGGAACGTGAAGGGAAGGTGAACTTTTTTTTTTTTTTTTTTTTTTAAATCACTGGAGCACTCCACAATCCTGTTCTGGCATATGTATGCTTATACCAAACACATACAAAATGAGAGGTAAATCATGTATTTAAGATTGTGATAACTGGAATGCTTCATTTGCAAAATTGCAACAAAAATAAGCTTTAAAAAAAAAAATAACGACTGACTTCATCAATGAAAAGTCACCAGAATAAGCAAAAAACTACCTTTAGTGAAAACTTTACAAACTTTCCTCAAATTGCACATTATTTTTAATGGACTACAGCCACTCCTCTACATTTCTATTTTATTTCTTAGACAAGAGGAAAATATATGATTTATGCAAAAGGGTAGTTAATGTTTCCAACCACAAACACATGACCCATAAAAAATAAGAATCCCATTTTTCTGTTGTGCAATAACTATCTGTATGGCAGCAACAATGTACAATGTGCTAGTTTCCTGTTACTTTACTAGCATCTCCCCTTGCACTCACTGCCCAGATTAAGTAGTTATTCCTTGGATAATAAAGCCATAATACTGAATTTCAAACTACTTCCAAAAATGTTTCTGCCTGTCTTAAGAAATAATCATATCGGGGTGCTAATAAACAGAAATGCAATACAAGTTAAGGCTGTTGTCACAATTGGCTAGACAACATATAAATCAATCTGTGATCAAAGAAGAAACAATATATTTCTTATGTGTCCAAAACATTATGGATGGTTGGGATCACAGCTGTAAGATGTTGGACCACCATCAAGAGAACTATGTCAAACACTAAACTTCTGGATGATTTCCATAAAAATAACATTTTGTTTGGTGTCAGTAGTTTTTATGGAACTTTGGAATGATTCTCACTGACAATTTTTCAGAGCTGAACTTGGCCACCTCCAAAATACTCTTCAAAATGGAAATATTATGTAATCTAGCTATGTAGCCATCTCCCTTTGTAAACCAAGGACATACCAATCAAACCAGCATTTCTCTCTCTCAATGTGTGCAACTTTACAAAATATAAATTGTGATATTTATTCAAGAAGGTAAGTTTATTCTTTGTTTTTCTCCTTTTCAAGTTTAAAGTAGCACTTCAGACATATAGTTATTAAAGCCAGGATGAAAAAAAAAATGTTAATGGCCTGGATCCATTCTGTAGAAATCTATATTGACCCAGAAATATTTTTTTAACTGAAAATAATAATGGAATCGGTGAATCGGTGTACAAATATTTATTCTTAGACATAATGTTGGTGTTATTTGTTGTTAAGTGTTGACAAGCCAGTTCCAACTCCTAGTGGGCCTGGATAGGGTTTCTGAGGATATACATCTGAAAGTCTCAACTTTCTCCCCCAGAATGGTTGGTGGGATTGAACCACCACCCTGAGGTTCACAGTCCAGTTCTTATTGTCCAGAGCCACGGCATTCCCTTTAGACATAATATTCAACTCTAACATTTTTTTGTTCTTCTCTACATATCCTTAGTTGATATTTTCCTCTCTTTGGTTGGGCCCCACTTTATTAAATGTTTTTCTAGAGCTCAGAATTTTGGAGCCGTGTTTTGTTGATCCCAACAAGGCAAGCATTCATAAATCAACTGGAAGGTTTTCTAAATATAGTCTTATGACAAAACTAGTTGAAGCATAAAACTATCAATCCAAAGAGACCATACTGATTTAATATATTTATGTAGTATTAATAATCTTGCTCCCTAGGATTCTGTTACCAGAGCTTAAGAAAAAGCAAAGCCAAACCACTGAATTCAGTGTTTTCAGTGTTTTAGGACATGAAAATATTTTGGTTCTCCCATGCAAATAATTTCTGCAAAAGACTTTGTCCAAAGTGACTTTATTGGAGACAGAGACTAATTTCAAACACTGCATGATTCTATATGTGGGAATACATATTTTCAGAGTTTGGCCCACATCAAGGAAAAATTGTTTCCTGTGATTTTTACGTAAATTAATAATTTATTGTACAGAAATATGCATTAATGGATGTTTCTAAACCATACCCTAAAAATTACACACTTGTAAAATGTTTACATAATAAGATAAGCTCTGGACTGCGAACCACAAGGTCAGCAGTTCAAACCCACCAGTTCTCCTTGGAAACCCTATATAGGATCTTTGTTGGAACCAACTCAATAGTTAACAACAACAATTTACTACATAGAATCAAATAAAAATAGTACATCCAATGGATTAAATTATTTTTGTACTCTACACTCTCAGTGGTTCTCTACTTTCAAACAGATTAAAATTTAGTTCTGCACCCTGGCCCCAGTATGCGTTGTAATATGAATTCCCACCTCAAAACCTTCAAAAGTATGTTGACTTCACTTTTTTAAATGCCTCATTGTGTGACCTAAACCCAAAATTCACTGCCATCCAATCAATTCCAACTCATATAGCAATATCCAACTCATATATCAAACCTTATATAGGGTTTCCATGACTGTAATTTTTTACAGGAGCAGACAACCTCATCTTACTCCTGTGAAGGACTGATGGGTTTGAACCACTAACCTTGTGGGTAGCAGCCCAACCCCTAACCCACAGCAGGGCTCCTTTCATTGTGTGACTCTGAGTTAAATCTATGCTTAAAATCCAATTCCAAGTCAAGGCTTCCTTGGAATTCAGAATACATCCAATAAATGTCTGTTCATTTGAATGACAGAAATATAAATACAAAATCCCTGTCCTAGTATGTAGGTAAAAAGTAGATAGATAGATAGATAGATAGATAGATAGATAGATAGATAGATAGACAGACAGACAAATTTTCAAGTCCATTTGGAATCATGGCAGCCTTTGTGCAATAGAATGACATGTTGACCTGGTCCCAAGTCATCTTCATATTTTTGAGTCAATCATTGCAGCTGTTTTGCCAATCCATCTCATAAAGAGTCTCCCTTGCCCTCTACTTCACCAATCATGCCGTCCTCCTCTATCAACTGGTCCTTCCTGATGATGTGTCCAAAACAATGGTTGGTTTTCAGGAGTAAATCACCAGGCCTTTCTTCTTAGTCTAGCTTATGGATGCACCACTGAAACTTGTCCACTATGAGTTACCATTCTGATATTTGAAATACCTGTGACATCATTTCTAGCATTATAGCAACATGTAAGCAGCTATAGTACATCAAACAGATGGGTGGTGGTAGTAGTTTATACCATTGTTGCCATTTTTAAGTGCCGTGGAATTGGTTCCAACTCATAGCGACCAGTATAGGGAGTCCAAAGAGTGACTGGTAGATTTGAACCACTGACTTTGTAGTTCAAACCAACTTTACAGTCCAGTGCTTTATTCATCAGCACCACACCAGGACACCAGCTTATATCATAGGGTATACATTTCAAATAAAAGTATTTTCATTAAGATAAAGTATATTCATCCTAGTATTCATCGCAAATTGTTATTTCTATATTTGTTATACATATTGATTGTCTTCTAGTAAATAGCATCCAGATATATCAGCAGATTGTAAATATGTTGCTGCCATTTGAATATAAAATGGGGCCTTAAATAGAAGCCAGATTAAACATATACATTAATAAATTTCTTAGATACAAGTGTATTCAAAATTTTCTATTAAATATATATGTGTTGTTGTTGTTGTTGTTAAGTGCCATCAAGTCAGTTCCAACCAATTGTGACCCTGTATAGGGTTTTCAAGGAGCAATTGGTGAGTTTGATCCACCGACATTGTGGTTCAAAGTTACCTTTCAGTCCAGTACTTATCCTACAGCTAAGCTACATGTATATACATAGAGAAAGAGAGAGTCCTGGTGTAGTGTGGCACTGTGGGTTAATACATTGGACTGCAAAGTCATTTGGAGCCGACTTGATAGCATTTAACAACAACAACAACAAATATATATATATATGATTGTCCAGGTACGGTGCTGTGGGTTAATGTGCCAGACTGCAGAGCTGTTTGAACTGCAAGGTAGGAAGTTCAAGCTCACCAGCAGCTCCTTGGAAACTATACAGGGTTGCTATGGGTCAGAACCAACTTGACAGCACTTAACAACAATAACAACAAATATATATATATATATAGTGACATAAATTCTAAACTTGTAGGAATAGAACTTTGTAGTATTCAGAACTTCCATATATTTATTGTTTCATTGCATTTTGTATGCATTCATGTTACAATTGCTTAGAATATAGTAAAACCTTAATAAAGAGTACATGAATGAATGATTTAATAGTAGCTATTTGCTTTCTATAATCAAATAGAATGTAATTAAACACACTTTTTAAAGGAATGTCCTCTCATTTCAGGAAAAAAAGGAAGGGAGCGAAAAAGAAAAAAACTTAATAAAGAAGAAAGTAAGGACGCAGTACCTGACAACAAAGGTCTGGAACCCAGCAGAGAAACCCCAGAACAACGAGAAAACAAAGACAAACAGCAGCAGAAGAAGCGAAAAGTCCAAGATAAACAACAGAAATCGGTATCAGTCAGCACTGTACACTAGAGGGTTCCATGAGATTGTAAACTCATGATGCTGCTATCTCAACCAAATGCCCAGGGCAGATACTCTAGCCATTAGGATCACAAATGGATGTTATCAGTTACTGCTCAATCTAAACAACATTCCAAATAGTTGCTATATTCTTCATACAAGCATAGTTAACAACAAAGAGCCAAAAGTTCAAAGAAGGGATACTTTCGAGTGATTATCTTATATGTTTTCATGCATTGTTAAGAGACAAGAAATTTTGTACATAATTATCAATAGGCTACGTGATGTAACAACATAATGATAACATCTGGAGAAGCAACATCTTTTCCCTATAAAAATATTTTTCAAGCTATTGTAAGAAAGAAGAGAAAATAAATGAGGTAGTATCCCTTTAAAATGACTAAGAGACCAGGGGAGAGAAACGTCTTTCAAAGGACAGTGTTGTTTTGTCCAGGAGATCAGAGATCTAGAGAGTGCTCAGAATTAGGGCCTGGCATTTGGAATCATAGAATTTATCATTACAGGAACAACTTTTTTTAGATTGGTTCTATTGCCTTCATCCTGTACTTCTGAAAGAAATGCAAGAATGTGTTCCAGAGTTGAATATACTGTATGGGATTAGAGAAAGGCAAAATGTGGAAGAAACCATAGAGTTGGTTTTACAAAACTAAAGGGTTGTGATTACTTGGAACAGGGCTCCAATCTGTGTCAGCAGTATGTGGCTCAGCCTCCGCTACCCATTGGGTTATACATCTGTAAGTATGTACCAGTAACTTGTCCAAAGACAAAAATCATACTTATTAGAAGAAAGTTACAATTTCATAAACAACAAAAATTAGAGCAAAGAGAGTACAACATGTTTGCAAAGTCATGTGTTTTCTTTCTTTCTCAATAAAGGAAAAATAATTTTATCACCTGCTTAATGATCCACCAGGAACTAAAAGAGATCCTATTTTCTAACAAGGTGTATCTAGTAGGGGGAAAGCCACCACAATAAATATATTTGTTGATAGTTTTTAAAGTTCTGTTCACTTTGCCTTATTGTGTTTTGTTTTTAATTTGAAAACTTGTTATTCTTATTTAAGAGATTTATGAATTAACGAAAGAAAATCAGAGACCATTTCTGTTTGCTTTTTGAATCCATACTTATCTGAGCTAAAGAACATTATTATATTATGTTAGGCATTAGATATTTATTCAAAGTTTTTCTTAATTTTATCAACAAAAATTCTATTTATCGCCACATGTTGTTATTATTATGTGTCGTTATGTTAGTTCTGACTCATAGTGACCCTGTATAGGGTTTCTAAGGAAAGGCTGATAGGTTTTGACTCCCAACCTTGTCTCAAGCAGTCCAGCTCTCATGCTACAGTGTCACACCAGGCCTGCGTAGGCCATCCCAAATAAGTTCACTACTCCTTTCATCACTTAGAAATTAGCACCTTTTCTGGTATGCTGATTCCTCCCATGGCTTCAAATTTAGGCTTTTATTCTCCATATTTTCTCAGTCTGTGGACCTTTTTTGGGGATTGACGTCACCCTAGCGGAAAGCTCACCAGTGTTCACAGAGGACCCAGCCAGCCCAGTCCAGAAGGAAGCGTCTCTGAGTATGCAGCACAGAATTCCATGCCTCACCTTACCCTTCCTGTTGTAATGAAAAGGCACACAGCTTCTCTGTCACCACTCTCTCTAGCCCTCTCTAGAGCACAGCTTCCTGAAGAATTTGCAGTCCATCTGGTTCTGGCTGCCTATCTCGGGGTACCCTTTCTCCAACAACTATACTGTGGACTGCCTGGCTTAATTGGTTTTCTATTTCTTCTTCTAAGATAAAAAAAAAAAAAAGCTTTTAAATGATGTATTCTTGTTTCTTACTCTGGTGTTTTCTTTCCTTGTCTGCACAAAATAAGTCTTTCCATTAACTAGATCTATGCCTGATGTATAAAATGATTCTATCTTGAACTAAAACTTATACTATAAAGGAGATACAAACTTTTCCTATAGAACTATATTGAGTGGAAGTATATTATCAACGTTTCAGAGTTTGGATGGTTTCAAATGTCACTCTTGTCCTCACTACTATTTGGTCAAGCATAAGTAACCAAGTTGCTTTTACGTATCTTTCCAGGTTTATCACTGACTTCATTAGTTCAAGATACATTTACTTAGAGTCTGTGTTTTTTCTAATCTTCCAAATGAAGAGCAGGACAAAATTATAGCAAATGATCATTATGTCTTCCCAGCTATTTTGATTCAAGTCTTTTCTTCTTTTGCCCTCCAGGCAATGACAGACTAAGTCCTTAATGCACCACTTAAATAAAATTAGAATTTCTACGAAGAAAAATTAAATGAAACTAGCATTTATACTCCTAAAGTGGGTAAAATATAAATGAAGACAAAGCTATTATCTACTTTAAGTGTAATTCACCATACACCTGCATAGAACTTTGTTGTTGTTGTTAAGTGCCATCGAGTCGGTTCCGACCCATAGCGACCCTGTACAGGGTTTCCGAGGGTGTAAATCTTTATGGGAGTAGAAAGCCTCATCTTTCTCCCGCGGAGCCGCTGGTAGTTTCGAACTGCTGACCTTGTGGTTCGCAGCCCGATTCGTAACCACTACGCTACCAGAGCTCCTTTTACATAGAACTTTAAGCACATGGAATCATAATCTTCAAACTAGCAGCAGTCTCACCTTTGAGAAAAAACTCTTGATCAATTTTCAATAAACTTGTTGCATTTATCACAATAGGCATTAACTTAGCACTCTGGATCTATATTGCTGTTGTTAAGTGCCACTGAGTCAGTTACGACTCACAGCCACCTTGTTCCAAGGACTTGCTAGTGGGTTTGAATCACTGACCTTGTGGTTAGCAGTCCAATGTTTATCCTACAGTACCACACCAGGACTCCACTCTAAATCTATAAGAGCTGGTAAGTGGTCCATGGTAACAGATAGCTAACAAATGCTTGATATGAAGACAAAATCAAAGTAAGTCTTTTTGCATCTGATTCGTGCTCCTGCCTTGATCTCCAAATTCTGCTTTATGACTGAGGAGAGACAGAGTCATTTGGGAGGTAGGCCCCTTTTCTACAAATCAGAAGATTTGGCTTCTGGTCCCAGATGTGGAACCATTGGCAAGTCACTTAATTGCTCTAGGTCCCCATTTCTAATGCACAACATGGAAGAGTTAAACTAGAGGTGATCTGTGTATTTCCAGGCAGGGAAACATTTGACACTTCTGTTACTTCAGGGGGATGTGCCTAGTAAGTCCTCATTAATGGCATTCTCTTTGGGATTCACCAACTCTTCTTTCCTCAACTTATTTCAAAGAATGCAGATTGAATTCTGCTGCTTAGACATTATTGAATTAACAGTTGTTCATAGTAGTGGTTATTAAAAATCGACATGAGTAACATTGGGAACATTTTTTAAAAAGTGTATTAAAGCATGGTTAATGCCCAGTGTAAAGGATATGAGGAAATGGCAAAGTGGGAAGAGTCCCACAGCTTGACTTAGAACGTTAACATTCCAGTTATATTATTGACGTGTCCTAACTATGTGACCCTGAGCAAGTTGTATGGCTTCCTAGAAATTTTATTCCTCATCTGTAAAACAGAAATGGCAATACCAATCTTGCAAAATTTCTGAGAGTTAAAATATTGGACACTCAGTTTAATTGTGACACCACAGGATAAGCAATTGACCTCAAGATCAGTTTGAACTGCAAGGTCAGTGGTTCAAACTCACCAACCACTCCTCAGAAACCCTATACAGGCTTTCTATGAGTCAGAACCGACTCAATGGTGCACAATAGCAACAAAAACAATATACAAACAACCAATGTAATTATTATACAAATAAATGTAGGTAAAAAGTGATGACTTGTTTCACTAGTTACATAGAGAAATCACTTTTTGTTTTTTTACTATTGCAATGCAATAATAGTCATGTAAGTTGTTGTGATTGTCATTGTTAAGTGCTGTTGAGTCAGTTCTGAGTCTTAGTGACCTTGTATAGTGTTTCCAAGGCTGTACATCTTTATGGGAGCAGAGAGCCTCATCTTTCTCCAACCAAGCGGCTGCTAGATTCAAATTGCTGAACTTGTGGTTAGCAACTCAGCTTGTAATCCACTATGCACCAGAGCTCCTTAGCCATGTTAAGTATACATGTATCATAATTCCATGGAATAAGTATACATGTATGAGAATCACAGAAATGAAATAGAGAACGGTAACTACAGTGTAAGTACCAAAGTTGTGTTGGTTCCTCTTAGAACTGAGATATTACTTATGCTTAAAAGTATACATATTTATAAATAAATGTAAAGACATTTTCTCTTTCTCATGTTGTTGTTAAGTGCTGTTGAGTCAGTTTTCACTCATAGCAATGTTGTTTAGAGTTTTTGAAGAGTAACTGGTAAGGTTTGAACCACTAAACTTGTGATTAGCGGTCCAGTGTTTATCTTACAGTGTCACATTCATATTAAAATACATGTATGTATTATAATAACACAGAAATTGACTAAATTTTTTTCTCAGTACCACTGCAACAAATTCAGTTTCCTGGGCAAATCAGGTTTCTTTTTTGGACTGATTTTTTATAAACAGGGTGCTACTTTTTGTAACCTAAAGGTATTTCTTTTTGGAAATAAAGATCCAGCTTCCCACTGAAAGGAAGCTGCTGAGTGAATCTATTGAGATTTTCACTTCAGGCAATGACACTTTATCTCACAACTTTAGTAGCTATCTTATCATTTTATTATATTTTGATATTTCTTATAAGAAGAGAAATAAAACAAAAATGTCTGTATCTCTTTTATGCTAGTCACTTAACCTTTGATGGCTTAATTTCATAATTAGTTGAGAGGGAATTATTAGCATCTTTGTTTTACAATTTAGGAAACCAAGGAACAGAGAAGTACCCAAAGTCAGACCAGCAGGAGTGTGTGGAACTGGAAGTTATAGCTAGTTCTGGATAACCTCAAAGGCCTTGCTACTTCCTCTATAGCACAGCTTTTAAAATCACACTTGTTATTGGTGTCAATATTAAAGTATTTTCTTATGACGAAAGAGCCAGAAAAAGTCAAATTCCAGAGATCTTAGTCCAGGAAAAGACTTACCTCTGAACCTGAATTCAAAGTGTGGAGACCACAGTGTGTGTTCTGGGGAGCAATTGAGTTAGCTGGTAGGGCATTGGAAGGGAAATGCTAGTGTACTGAAATGGAAGATGAATAGAGAAAGGAAGAGATGAGAGTTGTGTGCCATCAAACAAACACCAAAGTTCAGGCCAAAAAGAAGCAGCAGATCCTCGATTCTGTTGTCCTACTAAGAAAACAGGGTATTTCAAACATTATCATCTGCTTCCTGAGCCCTGCAATTATCCTGAAAAATATAAAAATACGTCTCATTTACTACTGGAACTATCGTCGTGCCTGCCTTCAAATGATTCCTCATTTTCCTCCAGGCGTTTCAGACGTTTAACATCAGATGCTAATATGTCTTTTCTTGCCCAGGTCTGTTTTTCAAGTAATCCCATAAGTAACAAATCCATCACATAAATGGGTACCTTAAAAAAATAAAGAGAGCAGAGTGAGGGAGGAAGAAAGGTAGAAAATAGTAATCATATTTATTTACAGAAGTCCTGGTATGGAAGTGTAAGATAAGCACTGAACTGTTAACTGCAAGGTTGGCGGTTTAAACCCACCAGACACTCACTGGATACCCTATAAAGGGTCTCAATGAGTCAGAACCAACTCGATGATTGTGTGACTTTGAGCACTTCTCTGTGCCTTGATTTTCTAATTTGTAAAATAAAGATGTGAATCATTTCCTTTCAACTAATTATATAATACAATCCATCAAAGGTTAAGCGGACAGCATAAAGCAGTGCAGGTGCTTAACAACAGCAATCAGAGAACCTTAACTAATCAGAATATTCCATTAACTGGAAAAGATTGTTTTATTTTAAAAGGACAATATTGGCAAACACACATTTCTTAATGTAAACAAAGTTAAATAATAATTACCAACTGGTAGCATAGTGGTTACGAATCGGG